TTTTGTTCTATTTGGGTCATGTAGTTAAAAAGGCCATGAGTTTGAACCATGACCGGTTTAATTTAACCGGTCAGAATTGGACCGAATCCGAAGAGGATTCTTCCGTCGAGTTGTCAATGTCGTCCGAGTTGTATTTGTCTGAAAGCGATCTGACTTTGGATAATATACTCAAAGAGCCAGCTCAATTGTTTATGATTAAAATCACGTGCCTTTTAAATTTTGTTATCCTTTTCTCTTTCGTTTTTGTTATTTTTTTGTAGGCCTACAATTCAAACTTCCTTTAGAAAAAAAAAAGGAAATATCAAGCAAACTCTGTGAATTTCAGTTTCTGTGTATTCTTGACTGTATGTGTGTCCCTAGTTAATTATTTACGATATGAATGTTTTTGGGCATTGTGTTAGTAATATTGAGAAATTTTAAATTACCGCAATAAAACAGGAAAACTAGATGAAGCTATGTAGTTGTTTCAGATCATCTCCAATCCAACACTAAACTTTTATTTTAGTGTAATTTTTACATAAAAATATTTTCTAACCAGAGGCTAAAAATTACATTATTTTAGTATAATACTATAATTTCATACTAAATTTAGTTTTATTATATTCACCACACCACAGTAAAACATTATCATTCCACTAAAATAATATTTATTTATTTATTAATAAAATCTATAATTAAATAATTGACAAAAACAATAAATATATATAATATTATAAAATAATTTTGAGTGGGAAGTTTGGTATTCTGGTTAGAGAATAATTTTTGTAGTGTTGAAACTATACTGAACGAGTTTAGTTTTGACATTAAATAGTGTTATATTTTTTTATGCATTACATTTATTTAGAAGTAACTGAAATAAATATAATTTTATATAAACGTAATTTATTTTGTAACTAATATTAATTTTAAAATATTTATAAATTGCACTGAGTTCTAAAATTACTGCTTAGTATAACAAAATAAAAATGGCAATAACATTCTTTATAAAATAGAAGAATCAACTATAATTTTCTGACTGTAATATGTTAGTTATGGTTGTGCTTTTAGTTATTATTACTGAAGGATTTATTGATACAGTAACAGTAGAATTTTAAAACTACACAATGATTTTTTTCCATAAAAGTTTATTAGTATAAGCTTGGTGATATGTTAGAGTTTAAAAGAAGTTGTTTAGCTACTGGATATCTTTTCAAAATTTGTTAATTTAAGAAAATTGTCATATTTTACAAATATTATTTAATATATTAAGTAAGCAGTGTATTTTTGAACTACGGTTAATTAATAAACAAAATCGTATAAATTATCAAGTGATTCAGAAGACCCAAAATATATAAATATCTAAACAATGTGGGTAAAATGTTAAATTAGCTTGAGTTTAAAATAAGGCTATTACCAATCCATAATTCGACCACACATTTTTCAGCATTTTGAATTAGAAAAGGATCTTACACAAGAGCTTTCTATAGAGAACTGATTATTCACTTATATCTTTGATTATTTCTTCACAATCAATATTACAGCAAATTAAGTAAAATAAAATTTTAAGCACATTTATAACTTGAAAAACACATTTTTGTTGATGAACAAGTTTTAATAAAAAAAAAATAGAAAAGGGACATGGCCAACCACAAGTTGTTAGAAACCAAATCATTAACTCTTGCTAGAAGGTGCAGTCCTCCTAAAGCACCGATTCTCTCTCTAAACGGTCTTCTCTCTAAACAGCTCTCTCCGGAAGAAATACTCTTAACTCCGGCCCGGGCTCGCCGGTGCCGGAGCGCCCTCTTCACCCTTTCTCTCCTTTTTCTCTTTGCCTTTCTCTATATCCTCTTTCTCCTAGTCGAAATGCAAGCTGCTCTGGAGAGGTTGTTACCACGCCGGAGCCTTATCGGCTGTGGCTGGTCTTGTCAGCGTTTCTGGAGGAGCGGCGAGACTACGGAGCGGTGGATGGAGAAAAGGTCGGCTTTTAGGGTTGGATTTGGACATCGAATCTGGTTTTCTCTTTTTCAGATCTCCGGTGCTCCCTCCACGGCGGCGGCGCGTGACTCAGTGGGTCAACTCCTTCTCCACCGATCTACCCTCGGGTGCGGCGGTGTCATGAACGGAGGCGAGGTGCGAAGTTTCGGTGAAAAAGGTTTCGGTCTCCGGTTCTCGGATACGGGGCGTCGTAAGGTCTCGCCTTGTTGGAGTTGTCAACCGGTGAGGTGCGCCTTGCCTTGGTACGCGGTGAGGCTCTGCATCCCAGCGCCGGCGGTTCGTCCTCCGGTGGTACGAGTCTCACATCCTTAGAAGCCATAAGTTACTGTTCCGGTCACGTTTCTTCCGTCAAGACCCGACTTTTTCAGTACGGAGCCATTCCGTTTTTGAGGCTATAGGAGCAAAGCAGTAGTCTTGATGGTGCTGAAGCTGGTCACGATACTCACCACATGTGTTGATGCACTTGTCCGTGTGCTGCAATCTTACATATTGGAGACAATTGCTTGAGCTTTGATTAGGACTCGTGAATAGCTTTATGTATCTCAAACTTCTTTGCTTTTGCTCATTGTGGTCAATTTAGGTGGGGTTTTAAGAGACAACTCTTTCTCTGCGGAAGAGTTTGTTCTCATGGGTTGATTTACATCAAAGTCAATTTCAGGTAGCTTAGGATCCATTCTAGTGATGCTAAGTGATACTAGAGCGCTTTGATTGTAAGTGTGGTTGAATCCATTGTGGTGAAATCATGTATTCCCAATTTGGTTAATATAAAGTTGATGTTGAGCAAAAAAAAAAAAAAAAAAAACTCTTGCTAGAAGGTGAACAAAATAGTAGAGTATTGCATTAAACACTCTCAATGACAGCTTGTAACAAAAACAAAAAGCAGTATAAATACAAAAGAAAATAAGATTCAATATGTCGGCTTATACTAATAGTAGTTTTAAAAAAAATCTAAAAATAAAATAAAATGTAAGTACATGATGTTACAGCTATGAGACAACCGGGTAATCATAAATAAAAGGGGAAGGTTCTAAGGTTGGCTTTGGCTTTTCATACAGACGTGCACAGATCCTTTCCCATGTAAATATAACATTATTATGACGTGTCAATACCCCATTGGTTCTCAGTGTTTTTGACTAGTTACGTAAGTGGGAACGCAGTTCTGCAGAAATATAGGGAAACACTTATCCATTTCGGAAACATTCTGATCCTCGTTTCTTATTCAACCCGTGGGTCCCACTCACACTCTTAAGACTATACGGAGTTGATAACGTGTCGGGTTCTTATTGGTTTATATAATTAAGGTCCCACCTTGGCCGACGATTATGTCTGCCTGTCTGGATAAACTATTTTTGGCTCAATAACTGTTGGGATAAACTAGCATACAATACAGTACATTTTAATTTTCAACATTAAATTTATCTTCTTTTGATGTTTACATTGTATAACTATTTACATTATTATTTTTTATTTTTCTTACGTAATGCGTTTAAAAAAAAAGAATTTAGTTTATGTACACAATTCTAAAACATTAAACTAATAAAACTTGGAAGAATATTAAACAATGTAGTACTATTTTTCCTGAAAAAAGTGTCTTGCTATAAGAAAACAAACAATAATGTTAAACAAGATTAATACCACCAAAGATTCAAATAATGCATTTTGGAAGATAGTATATATCAAAGAAAAAAAGTGTTTTACTTTATTTTTTGTTTACATAAAAGAATTAATCTTATTTAATTTCGACCCACGCGCATGGCCTTTTCGAATGGAGAAGAGAGACTACAGCTGTGAAACTAGTTTTTTTCTTGTTTATTTAAATTTATCCAACTGGTCGTGAATTTTATTTATTAAAAAAAATTAAAAGAAGAAGAAAGAGTCTTATCGGATACGTCGGATCCAATCTCCCAATCCGCATTGGCTTTCGAGGCAACGTGGACGTAAAAGAAAACCTCAGGTTCGACATTATTTACTTTTTCAGCCACTGGCTCTTAGGGTTAGTGGGCGTCTTAAAATCATATGAAGATAACGTGCATACACAAATATTTTCTTAGATTTTTTTTTCATAGTCCACTCTATTTATAAATCTAATAAACAGTACTTATAGACTAATAGATCGTGTGTAGACGACTAGGCATTTTTTCGACACCAATGGATAACGATAAGATTGTTGATAGATTGTTTATCAACAATGATCAAACTTTGTTTCCACTTTGTACTTCGGAGTAGTTTTAAAAAAAAAAATTATTGTAACACATGATTTTTTACCGTACCCTTTATTCGCTTGATTATTTTATATATGAAACTAATTATAACTTCAGAATATTCTTTAGAATAAACTTCTATAAGGTGGATTAGGTATTCAATTTCTTTTTATGAGAACTTCAATTTTTTCAGTCCTCACATGCTTCAGAACATTACCATCAGAAAAACCATGTGCTAATGATTAATGAGACATGCATTTGCATATATTTTACTAATCATGTTAACGGGTACATTTATATATATATATATATCATTCATATTATACATAAATGAAATTTAAGTTTTAACCAGACAATGTGATACAAACCATGATTTGAATTTGTCTCCTTTTAAACATTGGAATAAAATGAAAATGTAAGTATATTTTGATCCTTATACATGTAAATGGGGACCCCATAATATCCATATAAACACCAGACAATAGATAATATGCGAGTTGGTAAATTTAGTTAAGGATTACATATTAAGTAAAATACAAAAGTTTGGTCCACCATCCCAAACACACTAATCTCTACCAAACCCAACAGTAATCGATAAGAAGCCAAAAGGGTATCATCGTAATTTCATACGACGGCGTCCCCAAAAGACTTATCCAAAACATTATCGCCAAAAGAACGTACAGGGCAAAAGCTACGATATGATAATATTATTAAATTTTCAAAAACATAATACTTTATAGTAATATATAAAAAAGCAAATCGATCGTTAGAAAACGTGTATATATAAATATTTTCGTATATATAAGAATCTCTTTTCTTGAAATCTCATTTTTATTTTTCTTTCTTTTTTTCTTCTTCTTCTTCCTCTCTCTCTCTGAATCTCTCTCAGCGAATATCCTAACGTCTCTCCGTCATCTTCTCAAGCTTTCCATTAATCTGTTTGACTGCTAATATAATAAAACATCTATCAAGAATCCTCGGCGAAGGTGAGTTTTCCGGCCATCGTTTTTTTTTTTTGTCTCTCTTCTTGTCTTTATAGAACATTAGAACTGTGTTTGATGTGTTCTTGATCTATTTATGGTATAATCTTAGAATTTAATTAAGCCTAACAATGATGGTTAATTAGCTATCTAATAAGCTTTCTTTATCTCTTTTATTTACAGATGGTAAAACGACACCGTTTTGTAAGGTATTCGAACCAGACACAAAGCTCATAAGCTTCTTGTCTTCTTGATCTGTTTATGGTATAATCCCAGTTTTTTTATTATTCCTAATAATGATGATTAATTACTAATTACCATCTAAAACCACTTTTTAATCTCTTTATTTATAGATAGCAAAAACGACATCGTTTTGTAAGGTATTCGAACAAAACACAAGCTTCTTCTTGTCTACATGCTCTCAAGATCCTGTGCTAACTTCCTCGACGTATCATCTTGAGACCTTCTAGACATTCCTCCAACACCTCTCCCACGCGTCATGACCATTCCGGGAACAATCTCCGGCGACCTAACTTCTTCTCCACGCGAGAGAAAGATAATCGTGGCCAACACGTTACCTCTCCAATCCAAAAGAGACTTAGAAACTGGCAAATGGTCTTTCTCATGGGACGAAGACTCTCTCCAACTCCAACTCAAAGACGGTTTCCCTCCAGAAACAGAGTTCCTCTACATCGGCTCACTAAACGCAGACGTTTCACCAAACGAACAAGAACAAGTCTCACAAACCCTTCTCACACATTTCAACTCCGTCGCCACTTTCTTACCTAAAGACCTCCAAGAAATGTATTACCGAGGCTTCTGCAAACACCAGCTTTGGCCTCTGTTCCATTACATGCTCCCAATGTTCCCTGACCACGGAGACCGTTTCGACAGAAAGCTATGGCAAGCCTATGTCTCAGCCAACAAGATCTTCTCAGACAGGGTGATGGAAGTTATAAACCCTGAGGATGATTACGTGTGGATTCAAGATTACCATCTCATGGTTCTCCCCACTTTCTTGAGGAAACGTTTCAATAGAATCAAGCTTGGTTTCTTCCTCCATAGTCCTTTCCCTTCCTCAGAGATTTACAGGACGTTACCTGTCCGTGACGAGATCTTGAGAGGGTTGCTGAACTGTGATCTCATTGGCTTCCACACGTTTGACTACGCGAGGCACTTCTTGTCTTGTTGTAGTAGAATGCTTGGTCTTGATTACCAGTCTAAGCGTGGACACATTGGTCTTGACTACTTTGGGAGAACCGTGTTCATCAAGATACTTCCCGTTGGTGTCCACATGGGGAGGTTAGAGTCTGTTCTCAACCTTCCTTCCGCTACGGCCAAGATTCAAGAGATTCAAGAAGAGTATAAAGGGAAGAAGCTAATTCTCGGCATTGATGATATGGACATCTTCAAAGGCATTAGCTTAAAGCTTTTAGCTATGGAGAGTCTCTTTGAGACGTATTGGCATTTGAGAGGGAAAGTAGTTCTTGTTCAGATAGTGAATCCTGCGAGAACTTCAGGTAAAGATGTGGAAGAAGCTAAGAGAGAGACTTACATGACTGCTAAAAGGATCAATGAGCGTTACGGTGGTGCTGATTATAAACCTATAGTGTTGATAGACCGTCTTGTTCCACGTTATGAGAAGAGTGCTTACTACGCTGCAGCGGATTGTTGTCTTGTGAATGCAGTGAGAGATGGTATGAACTTGGTTCCTTATAAGTATATAGTCTGCAGGCAAGGAGCAGGCGCAGGCACAAGTACTCTCGTTGTCTCTGAGTTTATTGGATGCTCACCTTCTTTAAGCGGTGCTATTAGAGTGAATCCATGGGATGTAGATGATGTGGCTCAAGCGGTTAACTCTGCTCTTAAGATGAGTGAAGCTGAGAAGCAGCTAAGGCATGAGAAGCATTATAATTATATTAGCACTCATGATGTTGGTTATTGGGCTAAGAGCTTTATGCAGGATCTTGAGAGAGCTTGTAAGGATCATTACAGTAAGCGTTGTTGGGGGATTGGGTTTGGTTTAGGGTTTAGAGTTTTGTCGTTGTCTCCTAGCTTTAGGAAGCTCTCTGTTGAACATATTGTTCCGGTTTATAAAAAAGCACAGAGGAGAGCTATCTTTCTTGATTATGATGGTACTCTTGTCCCTGAAAGCTCCATTACTCAAGATCCAAGCGCTGAGGTTTTGTCTGTTCTGAAGGCTCTTTGTGAAGATACTAAGAACACTGTGTTTATTGTTAGTGGAAGAGGACCAGAGTCTCTGAGTAGTTGGTTATCTCCTTGTGAGAATCTTGGTATAGCTGCTGAACATGGATACTTCATAAGGTATGTATCTTGTCTTATACTTTACATGGAGGTTGTGAATATACTTACAGAGAACATCTTTTGTGTTTGGGTGTTTAGGTGGAATAGCAAGAAAGAGTGGGAGACTTGTTACTCGTCAACGGGTACAGAGTGGAAGGCAATGGTGGAACCTGTTATGAGATCATACATGGAGGCAACAGATGGGTCTAGTATAGAGTTTAAAGAGAGTGCTTTAGTGTGGCATCATCAAGATGCTGATCCAGACTTTGGTTCTTGCCAAGCTAAGGAGCTTCTTGATCATCTAGAGAGTGTGCTCGCAAATGAGCCTGTTGTTGTCAAGAGAGGTCAACACATTGTTGAAGTAAAACCACAGGTAAGCAAAAAAAAAGAAAAAAAAAAAAAAGAATCCACTTGCATTTATTCATACACATGTTCTGAGTTTTGTCAATGAATTTTCAGGGTGTAAGCAAAGGTCTAGCTGCGGAGAAAGTAATCCGTGGGATGGTTGAACGTGGGGAGGCGCCAGAGATGGTGATATGCATAGGAGATGATAGGTCTGATGAGGATATGTTTGAGGGTATGTTGAGTACAGTGACCAATCCAGAGCTTTTGATTCAGCCAGAGGTTTTTGCTTGCACGGTTGGAAGAAAACCAAGTAAGGCTAAGTACTTTTTGGATGATGTAGCTGATGTGCTTAAGCTACTAAAAGGTTTGGGAGACTCATCATTGAGCTTAAAGACCACATCTCACACAGAAGTTGCATTTGAAAGCATCATTTAAAAAAATGGAAAGTGCCAAGAATAACCAGAATTTAAATTTACTTTAACATCAAAATGTAAAAAAAGAAGAGGAGAAATGGTATTTAATTTGCTTCTGAAGGATTATTGTTTCTTGTTTTAACTACGTTTTTTGGATTAAATTAGGATTTGCAGTTTCTATTTCTTTTTTTTTCTCTCTTTTTCTGTACAGAATTAGAAACTACTTTCTTCTTTTTGTTGCTTGAATTTAATTCACTTGTGCTCTCACTGACTTCAAGATGTAGTCAGAAACTGAATGGTCTAAATGGTGACTAAATGAATGATAAGGAATAATCAATTCTTCTTCAGTTTTATTGTTTACAGCATTTACAAGTAATATTTGTTCTTTGTTAAATCCAGAAATGAACAGTATGTAACAAATATTACTCTTGATTTTCCTACAATTTTTTTCCTTTTCATTCTTTTCCTTTTTCTTCATATTGTTCTTTTAGTGGTTACCATTAGAGCACTTAGAAACATACTTCGGTGTAGTGTTAAAGTTTAGTAGAGAATATTTAGTTATCATTTATCAGATGCAAAAAATGCAACCAGGGATGATCCTACCTCTGTATACAACTAAAAGACTAAAACAGTTAATGAAAAATGTGGTTCTGTATAATCTGGATCAGCTCTATCCAGCATCCTCCACTACTCTTTGTGAGAATGTAACCTAAACTTAATGTGTATTCACATGTGGAAAACCATGTATACTCACAAGTAAAAAGAATACTGTATAATTTTTTTTTTGTAACAAAAAGAATACTGTATATTCACAAGTATCATAAACTTAATGTGTGTAAATGTAGATAATATGAATGTACTTTATAACATCAAATATTAACCATTATTATAGGAAGGCCTTGTAATGGATAAAACCAAGAAGTTCACAATACATATTGTAGAATTATCAAACTAGTGAATTTTCTTACAAATTTTCGGATAAACATATATAAAAATAGTCAACCAATACATATAAGGGAAAATACAACATTAAGCAAACAACAAATCATAATCCATACACGGAAAACAAACTTACACACCATAGCTTAAATGACAATGAGGAGAGGAGGAAGAAGGAGAAGAGTGGTAGTATCTTCAAAGAGAGTACATATCTGAGAGTGCTTTAAAGAACCTAATCTTCAACTTCAAATGGACAATATAGTCGACGGTTTTTGATAAAAGCAGATCCGGATGGTTGCATCTTCTCCCACCTGGTATCAGTATTTGGAGCTTCCTTACCTTCATCCGAAGCAGCCTGGAGCCAGACCCATGACCCCTTTTGTTGTTCTTCTTCTTGTTCTTGTTTGACTCCTCCATTGCTTTTCTGTGTAATGACTAGTGACAACACTTCAAGGAGTTGTGATGCAAACGAACGTGCGGGTGGTCCATATTTATAATGAGTCTATGCTTCTAAATAAATCAGAGTTTTCAATCTCTTTTTTTTTGTTGGTTTTGTCATTTTATTTTCGTGCAATTATAGAATTTGTTGTTTTTAACATGGCTGCTTACTTCCACACGCTCAATCCATTTGTCCTTTTTACTTGTGTGATTAGAAAGCATTATCCATTACAGAAATATGTATTAGTAATGTCGGTCGTTAAATTTGTATATATATATTTAAAATTGTATTTAATGCACGGATTCAATTATTCCCAAAACGTCAAAAGATATATGTAATCACGTGTGCTGGATTCACTAACATTTGTTTTGTTTTGTAATGTAATCTTCTTATAATATATTGGATATAGTTTTGTTAGTTTTACCTATGTTTCTATATCAAGATTATATATATACAATAAAATCTTAAATAAGAAAAAAAACTAGGATGATGATTATCTCTTAAATCTTGCGCTAAGGACCATAGTATATAATTAATCAGATTGTATCAATCAGCAGGGATGTGATGTTTTGCCCATGCTTCTATATCAAGATTATAAATATGATAATGAAGGTTACTCATGCAAATGCGTGTGAGTGTGTTCCGCGTAGTTGGGGCGTACGTGCTGTGTTGTGTTGTGTAGTGTAGTTAAATTGTTTTTTGGCCGACACTATGCAATGTTTGTAAAATTGCAAGTGCCAACTGGACACTACGCACGTGTTTCGACAGCTTAGCTTAGCTTTAGCAATCTCTCTTTTGTAGCCATCGGTTCTCGACATTGACGTGATCTTTCCTTTCACCATGTCTCTCTCCCTCTCTCTCATTGATGTGCATGGATCAGTCCCCATAATACGTTTAAATTTTCGCTGCTGATATATAGGAGTAGTACTACACTAGTTACAAAAACAATATCTTATGGATTTTATTTATATTTAACCACAAGTTTGTTTAAAACAAAGATAACGAATAATTTAGGAATTTGAATCTAAACAATATCTTATGGATTTTATTTATTTTTCTACAATCGGATGATTGTTATTTCAATCGTTTTTTTCAGCATATATTTATTGAAACAATACACGATGAACAAGAAATGGACCACTCTACGATTCACATGCATTTGTATGTTTGATAATGAGATAGATAAAGGATGAAGTCAAGTGGCCTTTAGATTCGAGCTTAGGGCTTTGACAGCCTGACCAGATGGCTATATGTGAGTGACTACTGACCAATGGGGTTTTGCTGTTATTACCCTCTTCGGCAAATCGACGTGGCTGACGTGCCACATGGGTCCCTTCCTTAGACACATTGCTTCTACCAAACACGTTTCTCACCGTCCGATCATTGCCCATACGTATCATTTCCACTGCAACTGCATGGTTTCTCATATAGATAACTATTAAACAATTTTATTTTGATGATCATAGATTGTTCATAGAAGTGGAAATGCACCGTGGTCTACGGCAACAGGTCCCTACTATTGTATGTTTCCCTCTTTTGGGGTTTTTTTTTGTTAATTTGGCGGGATCTCGGAACAATTATTGGAAATGCATTTTTTTCTTATAAGTCATCATAGTAAATTGTTTTTGAAAGAAGAGTAATTCCGAAATGAATTTTTTTCTTACATTTATATAAAGCTATTCAGTACAGCTAAACTCTTCTCTTCTCTTTTCAAAACTGATAGGATATTAACGACTTCGTGTGCGTTAGTTTATAAACTACAAAAAAAAATCTCAGCAAGTTTTTTTCCATTCAAGGTCATATAGCTTCTCATTTTTGATATCGGAAATAAAAAATGTATGAAGAACTTGGTTTGATGAGATAATAATGTTTTTAAGTTTCAGAAACCAAAAACTACAATTATTTTCGTTTTCAACACCTAAAAAAAACCTACAATTATTTTCGTTTTCAACAACTAAAATAATACACATAAATTCATATATTCATTTTATCAATTTTGAAAAGAGAAGAAAAACGTAGCTCATGTAGTGAAATAGCTAGCTCTGTTATAAGAATGTTTAATTACAACTATTTAATATTTTATATGTTTTTAATTTTATGTTACTTGTGTTTTCAACAAATTAAGTATATTAATTAGAAGATTGGGCAGTATAGAGCCTACAAATACAAACTTTGCAATTTACATAAAATATCAAATTAAGTTGCTAACTGATTTAGTCTTCTTTAGTAAATACATTATCATAAAACTGTAGGGCTGTGAGTTTTCTTTTTTGAACATTGAGGCTGTGAGCTGTAATGTTATGTGAGGTTGTTTCAAGTTTTTATCAGAAGTACGAACAGTTTTGATGTGAAATATCTCTAGCGATCCATCTATAATAGATATCGTTGAATCTCAATATATACATGTGGCACATTTTCCAATTTGTAGGTTTTTATATGTAAATGATTAATACATAAATAATCGGGATCACATGATGTGTTTATTCACCGAATATCAAAGTCTATGATCTCATCGATTCTTTGACCTATAAAACAACTTAATGTATGAATTGCATGATATTGTAATATTCTAATACAAATCTGAAAGACTGGAACTGATATGATATAGATATTAATGAAACTAAAACATTATATTCGGTGACTGGATCATTTCTCAAAGCTACATCTGTTAAGAAACGTTAACGTTAGCATAATTGAAGATTTGAAGTTTCTCACAAGAAATGTTGATTAAATTCATTTTGCCAGCTTCACTCCCATTTAGCCCATACGGATATATCTACCAGCACAATAATTGTATAACCTTCATATTGTTAAGAGACGCGACTAGCTATAGTATATTAATGTATAGATGATGATGCTCATGTGTTTGTTGCAAACGTTTAATTGGTTGGTTGCATCAACCAAAATTAACTCAATAGTTACATATATGCATGCAACCCATACTCTCATGTGTTTTGGCCAGCTCAGTGTCCGCCGTTTAATTCAATTTATTCTTACAAAATAGATAGTCGAACCATTTTAAATTGTGGATGGTGTGGATGCTCTCCGGTCTTTTGTTTGCGTGTGTCGTACGTAAACATTTACCATGTAGTATTTCAAATAAACCCATTTTTTATACTCCAAACCTAGACGCAAACGCAAAAAAAAAAAGAAAAGAATGAAAAAGCCAGTTTGAGTAGAGAAAACGCATAAATAAAATGAGATTTTTGTTCCGCTAGATCGGCTCTAATTTGGGCCAGAGCATTGCACTTTTAATATATATCTTGCTTGAAGCCCAAGTTAGTAGATACCAACGTCAGAATATGTAAAAGATCTATAAACCTAAATTACAAATATATCAGTGGAAATATGCATCCATTGGTACTACAGATAACGAAAAGCATTCCTTCTCCAGCCTATTCCATTACCACTTTCTATTAATATGAGGAATCTATTTAACCATCCAAGACCCAAACCAAATGACATTCCGGTCTATATATTTTCAAGGCCGACACTGGTTAACAGTAAATCAGTAATCAATGTCGCTAAGACCATCTCCAATGGGGGTTCTATCCCATTGGAGTTCTAAAAGTATATATATGTATATGTATATATTATATATATGTATGTAATGGTAGAGTCTACCCAATAGTATAGAACCCTCCCCAAAAGTTCTACATATAGAATTTTTTAAAACTTTTGGGAAGAGTTCTACACTATTGGGTAGATCCTACCATTACATACATATATATAATATATATATATACATATATATATAGTTTTAGAACTCCAATGGGATAGAACCCCATTGGAGATGGTCTAAGTGTACTTCTAAGTATTGGCTTAGTTTGGAAAATACTCTGAAAATGAACCAATTCTTTTTTAACGCCCTTTATAACTTCATATCCGTTGCATCAGCCTGTGAAGAAATTATCATTATGGTATTTGAGAAACGTTGGGCCTAACTTAGGCCACCAATGTTCACAGGCAGTATAAGCAAGAATAGTCTACAGAAAAATATTCAAAGAAAGTAAACTAAACAAAATATTTTTCTTTAGTAATATTCAATTATTCATAACTTGGCCCTAATACCATAGTGAAGAGCCGCATGGGTTTTTGTATTAGCTTTGTTTTCTCTTAATTGTTGAACCAAAAATATTTCGAATACAATAGTCAATAGAATAAAAATTTTACTCGTTGATAAATTAATTGAATTCGTTCTTGGCGTGTCTGAGCAAATTATACAGTTATTTAATCCAAAGATATTTTTTATATAAATTGCTTTCATCATTTATGATGTATGGTCACTCAATTTGGCCCAATGGTCAGAGTTCTAATTAACACATTTAACAATCAATTTGTATTTAAGATGTACGTATTAATTGGGAATACTGTGTATTCGAATTTGTCAGATTCTTTTCTTTCCGATTTGTATGATTCAAATCAATGAATTATTGGTGTTCCACATATGAATGAGTATTAATCTAAATAAACATCATTTGATCAAAAAAAAATATCTAAATAAACATCATCAGAAACTCACCGATCTAAGTCAGACCTAAATATTTAGAAGATTTGAAGAAATGTAAATAACGTAGAACCATCATCACAACCTAACTTTTTGTTGGATGATTCTGACTCCACTAACCATTACAGTATCAATTACTTGGACGAGAAATGACACCTTTCTTCAATTCTTTTAAATAAATATATCGAGTCATCAATTTTATCATTATTCAAATTGGACCCAGCATCTTTATAATTTCCTCATGTGTGGGTCCTTAATCAACAGCAGCCAAGAGTAAACAAAATACCCTGGTCCACTAAATTTTGCTGATTGTAATTTACAAGATTTTACGTTGCTCATGTCAGCCAAATGCCTTGTCGTTTCTTTTTGTTTTCTTGCGCTTAAAATATTACTTCCCGTTCATTGATATTTTGAACAAAAAGCTTTGCTTACAATTTAAAAAGTTTGTTAGTGGAAGGTAAGGTAGAATCCCATGATTACTTCGCAATTAGGGACCTGATTACTAAGCAAGAGTTTCGTGGTCTTGTAAGACGCGCGCATGTTACTACTAATACTAATCCTAATATCTACCACACTCACATATGTGAATGCATAATCATACTATGTTAATGATTATTAGGTATGGCGTTGTATTTAATGGTATACTATGTTCATGGATATGGATGTTTTGTGCTATGTGATGTTTGACAAAAGAATGTTAGTTTCAGACAGAAAAATCTATACAAGATATTTTTTGCTGGATTTTGCCAAGCTTTATAAATTTCTCTTTTTAGTTCTTTTTCACTATATATTGTTTTCTCATTTAAGCATATTTTCACTCACCTATGTTGTTCAGAGTATCTATCAATTAGATTCATATTTACTAACTGAAAAACATGAACCAGAGTCCAGATAAATCTCCAAACTTGCAAATATATTTACTACTTATAACGTTTAAAGTTATCGGTCACTATTGTCATCGTAAAGTGAAAATGCTTGAACCATTCTTATACTCCCAAATCTTATGAAATTACTCAATCACCAGACTACCATTCATTAGTTACTTTAGATCTATATATTACTTGTTCTATAATATCTATGATTTTTAATCAATATTTTATGAAAACAAAAACTTAATCAATCAATATGCCTCATATAAGACATGATATCTACTTATATCATGACATTAGCCGATCTAGTCCGTATGTCCAAACTCAGGGTATGTGAATAAACAACGAATACTTGGTATCCATTTCAGTCGCTTATTAGTTGGCGTATGATAATAATTAAGTATGATGTTATATTAGGAGAACCCACGTACGTTCCATATAAATCATGCTCTCTTAATACGTTATAGTTAAGACGAGAAACGCGACGTTACTACATAAATAAAATGTTTAGATAGCATCACACTATTTGGATTTATGTTTAAACACATTCCAATAGAAAAAGTAAGTAATATGACGTAAACATGTTACCCTTAGTGCAATTGTGGAGACACCCGTGTAGCTTCATCACGCATGTAAAGTAGCCTCACCTCTACGTGAAAGGTTATTATCTGAAAAATAGTTAATGATAAATAAAAATAACATGTACGACAATTCCACCTTCTATATATCATTGGAGAAATTAAACCAATAATTTCATATCTTTTCCAATAGCATTGAAGATCTTCTTCATCTCTCTTTCTCTCTCCTTCTTTCTCCACATCTATCTATATTTCCCTAGATCCTTGGAGCTAGGAAACATCGTGCCGTTTGGTTAGTTTAATAGTCTAGAGGCAGAGAGATGGAGCTGAAGGTTAGAAAGCAAGAGTTTGTGCCGTTTGTGGCAATGGTGATTATGGAGGCATGCACAATTGCTCTTACAATAATGGCCAAAACGGCTTTAACAGGAGGGATGAGTCCTTTTGTGTTCGTTGTTTACACAAACGCTTTGGGATCTATTCTTCTTCTTCCTTTTTCTTTCTTCTTCCACAGGAATGATAGGTCGGTCTACGTGATCCATATAATTTAAAACCATACTATGTGGCCTCACTAATCAATCTTGATTCATGATAGTTTTTGTTTTGTTTAATGACATTCTTTCAGAACTGAAGAATCTATCTTTTCTTGGCCACTCCTTGTTCGTGTTTTCTTTCTAGGTTTCACCGGGTGAGTACATCATCTCTCTTTCTTATTGAATGTTTTCTTGTGATTTTGGGAGCCAGGCTTTTTCAAATATTTTTCTTTGCAATAACAATAATACGAGGTCTTAAAACAAAAGAATAATACAAGGTCCGTGTTGCCATATTCTGTATACGTATCACAGCCACCAAATGTTTTGATTTTTATATGACATGGGTTTTCCACGTCATCTATCGAAAATTGACAAAATTATGAACAACTAGGCCTAAAAATATTTTAAATATTTACAACATAGTGACGTTTTTTTGTGAGCGGCAAGCATCGCACAACATGTTTTTATTTGTATAATAATTAATATAAAATAGATAAAAATTGCATGACGTTGTGTCTAATTAGTTTGCTCTCTTGCGCACACACGTACTGCACTTGCATGAACTTTTAACGTACTTAGCTTGTTCCTCATGCATATACATAAACACTGACTAAAGGTATTAAAATGTTTTAAATATGTGAAGGGTGTTTCTGTTCCAAAACTTGGCATTCGTGGGACTAAGCTTCAGCTCACCCATAGTGGTATGCGCAATGGGATTACTCATTCCTTCCTTCTCCTTCTTGCTCAATCTCATTCTCGGGTAAGCCATCTATCATCGCATTTCACAATCTGCATATAAATTAGATGTAATAATTTTCCAATATATTATAATTGCATGAACTTATATAGAAGGAGCAAGTTGGATTGGAAAACCACGAGCACGAGGGCTAAAGTGATGGGAACAATAATTTCATTAAGTGGAGCATTTGTTGAAGAGTTGTACAAAGGTCCCTTCATCAGACCAGCTTCGTCTCCTTCCCCAAACCGTCTTCTTAAATCAATTCCTAAACTCTTGGTCTACTACAATCTTCCCGACAATTGGTTCCTTGGTTGTATCTTTTTGGCCGCAGCTGTATTTTCTGTCTCCCTCTTCAATGTTGTTCAGGTATTTTAAACAATAATATTTTCCACAAAAAAAAACAATAATATAAATATGTGTGCGTTTTATTCAACTGAGATTAATATTTTTTTTTAATCTTTGGCAGACAGGGACGGTCAAAAAGTATCCACACGTTATGAAAGTGGCTTCGTTTTACAGCATAGTCGGGACGGTCCAATGTCTAATCTTCTCACTGTATATGGAACGAGACCTAAGTGCATGGAAGATCGAACCTAACTTCGATTTTTTCCTCATTATCGCCACGGTAATCAGATTTAGCCACAGTTATATACAAAAACAACCAAGTATTCGTATAGCTAAGTAACCATCATGATGTGTAATAAAAACAGGGCATATTCGGAAGTGTGATACGAACAAGCGTACACGTAAAGTGCACCCGATCGAAAGGACCATATTACGTACCATTATTCAAACCTTTTGGTATCTTTTGGGCAACACTCTTTGGTACCAGCTTCTTCGTCAACAGTCTTCACTACGGCAGGTCCGTTACAAGATTCATTATTAATCATAATTATTTATTAGCATATAATTGCCATACATGAGTATTGAGTATATGTTTGGTGCGTGTGTGCAGTGTGTTAGGAGCAGCCATAGGTGGCGTTGGATACTACACAGTATCTTGGGGACAATTGAAGGAAACTGAAGAAAAACAATATCCAAAGGAAGAACGAAAACCCATAAAAACTTTCCATCATCAAGAAGAAGAATACAAAGTTCCATTGCTTATTAGTCAAGAAGAAAGTCCTGTGTGAATTTTGTATTATATATACATTTTTTTCTTAATAGAAGAAAAGGAGGGTCGCTTAAATATTTTTTGGCCCTTTATTTCTGTTGCTTGTATAAGAAAAATGCGTGTGTGAATGTGTTAAGTCGTCAGTGTCATATGGGAGGTTGCTGAAGTAGGCTTTTTGGTCCGAAAAGCACCACCCCCAATGTAAATACATGTCTCTGCTGGATATATAGAGCTCTTCAGACTTGATTATGTTATTTTGTATTGAAGATTCTGCGAATCATGGATCGATTGTATTCCCGCTATTAAATCAATTTGCTACATGTCTTAGTTTTTTTTGGTTTGTTGTAAAGACTCTAAAAATCAATGGTTTGGTCTTCTTAAAACAATAAAAAACTTGCATTATTTTCTTTTATGGGTTTAGCTTTGACTTTAATGTATAGATGATATATGAATTTATACGAAGTTGTAGTAAAGCCCATACAAGTTTGCGCGATACTATTGCAGTTGAGGAAAAGAGTCTTCTTTCGTCTCTAATTTGGTAGCGGTTTCTACAGTATAAATTGGTTTTGCATGGCCTTGACCAACAAAAAAAGGGATTTGGCATGGTTTGATATAGGTTTTTTTTTTTTTACCTAATTATCTTTTCGAAATACCATTGTCACACTTAAAAATCACACACGAATTGCATAAAAAAAGAACATTCCACAGATGGGAGTTTAATTATTATTCTGATCAAGATAAACCCAAATGGATCTATCTAGTCTAGTGCAGAGGAGGAGCCAGCTTCCATGGAAGCAATTTTGTTGATGCTCTGATTATGACCACGGAGACACAAGACTTGCGACTGCTTATCCAAGAATCTTCTGACAATAGCAACGCGGTGGACATCTTTACCAACTCGAGGCTCACAAGAGTCCTCGTACTCTATGTAGAAAACAGCATCATAGTCTCCAAGTCCCTGGCTACTTTCAGTAGCCACTTTCAGAATCTTCAAATTGGTCAGACTTTCTTTTATAACGGCAAGGCTCCTATTGGTTGTAGCAACGGCAAGGTCCAAGTACAAACGGATCCAGTCATTGTCTTCAAGCTCTGAATCCTTGAGCAAGCGGAATCGGTTGGTGCCATCTTCAACAAAAGGGTTCTCTCGAGTCAACTCAGGCAACTTGGGATCGTCTAAGTCGCCCTCACCAACTGCGATGGTCTTCTCACCTAGGAGTCTAGCAACAGTGCACTCGAGATTGAATCTGCGGTATACTCTCTCCCTAATTTTAGTCTGAAAGGTTTGGAGAGAACCACAGTCATCCTCCGCTTCCAAAGTCATGTAGTAAGACTGAATAGCACACATTCTGGTCCTGTTGTATTTCTTTACTCTACTGAGCTGAAATTTTGTCCCCTGGAGTAAGTTGTAACGATGAAGGCCCATCCTGGCATAAAGGAGGGCTAAGTCACAACAACCATCAGCACAGTGGAATACTTTCAGTGGGTTAGCCCAGTGTGGTCCTGAACACACATCGAATCCCTCGGATTGCCTCAGTGTTTCCAAGTATTTGACCAACAGAAGATTGTGCCTCTCCTGAAACTCTTTCTCTGTTATCCTCTCCTGAATCTCTTTCGGTCTTATCCTCCGCGAACGCCGTTTCTGGCGCCGCCCTATCTTCACCCTCTGTCGCCGCCCCACCTTCACCTTCCGCCCCCGCCCCATTTCCACGCCTCTCTGTGATTTAGGTTTGATATAGGTTAAATTTACATTTCTAATAAAATATATCACGAATTAAAAAATGTAGAATTGAATTATTTTTTTTTTCGGTCTAGCTCAGATTATTATTATCATTATTATTTGGCACTAAAATTTGGGAACTCTTCTTATAAATTATTCGTAATTTAGAGATAACCCAATGTTTCAATCCTTTCTCATGTGGAATATTTAACAGGGCAAGAAGTGATAAAAACAGCTGGCGAAAGGTTAAATCTGTTTACTCTAAGGAAAAAATGTTTTTTCGTCTGTTTGTATTTTGTAAATGAAGATTCTCATCACAAGACAAAACATGTCTCTTGAAAGACAAAAATAACTTGTGGAAATAAAAAGCAATACCACAACTCTGGGACATCTATAAAATTGGTCACAAAACACCTATAAAATTGCATAGGACATCCATAAATATTCTACAATTTACGGTGACCATCCCTTTCTTGCCAGTTGCCACTACAAGAACGTGTGATTCCACAAAGTCCTCTTTATAAACAGTGACACTACAAATTGTCAAATACAAAGGATAGATTTCCAGTTCATCAGAATTTCTGCCCCACATTCTTCTGAAGCTATAAAAGAACTAAAAGTATAACAGCAAATTAGGTCGACGATCTATTTCTCCACGAAAAGTATCGTATAGCATCAAATGTCCATGGAACTATGACCTTGTTCTATTTACCCCCAAGAATAAAGTTCGAAATATATTTTCCCACCAAATTAAAGTTATATCGATATTTCCCCACAGTTATAAAGATCGAAATCTAAAACCCCACAAAATCGATTTTTATTGGTTTACTGTTTGTAATCAAACCGTAGACCATGTTAAGCCAATGACTAACCGGAGTAAGATTCAACCAGTCGGATATTTTTAAGTTTGAATGTTGGATCAGATTAATGTTCTGATTCAGATCAGGGGTTTGGTCGGGTTTTTAATTCCGTCTTAGTTTAGTTTTACTTAGTTTTATTATATGAGAGTGAAGGTTTGAAATTCGGTTTTCAGAAATCATAACTAAACCAAATTTGGTGGGGAAATAGATTGCGAACTTTATTCTCGAGGGTAAATAGAACGGAGTCATAGTTCCGTGGACATTTGGTACTATACGATACTTCTCGTGGGGAAATAGATCGTCGACCCCAGCAGATTCAATACTAGTTGCATTTTTAACAATATAATGTCCTCTTGATAACATTTTTATTACAACTCGACTACGTCTATTTTGACGCAGTCCATCATATAAGTGGAACTCTAGTTAACCTTTTGGCTAAACGAAATAATAAAGAACTATCTAATTGTAATCATAAATTAACGCAGCTATATTCTATATGCTCCGGGCTTGCTAGTTGTTATATATTGTTTTGTCGAAAGGGATTGCTAGATTTAGTTGTACACGATAGAAAGTATATTCGACCAACCTTCGTCTAGTATTTATATTGTGATATAGTTGTTGAAACACACATCAGATGACTAGAGAAAATATCACTTGTTGGATACAGGAGATTAGCTTATAAGTTTCAGCATTATTCCAGTTCTAAAAAAAAAAAAAAAAAAAAAAATATCTATTGATCAAATCCAATACAACTATAATTCGAAACTCCTACATCGTTTAAAGAACAAAATAAAATAAAATAAGAAACTACATACATTTCAAAAAAAGAAAATGATAACATCTTTTACCATATGTTATGTAGGGCATGTACAAAGATATCATAGGATCAATTAAACCCTCCATCGCCTCAACATCTCTATCATAATCTCATTCCACGTATCAACCGGACCAGGCAAACACCAATGCAAACAATCATTACGTACCCTCTTCGGTACACCGTTCTTGAACGGGAACTCGTTCATGTACGGACCAGGATGTCCGTCACGTCTCAACACCGAAATCTCCGTCACATCCAACGCCTCCAACCTCACCTCCGCAGCTTCTTTAGCCGCAGTAACCTCCTCCATCTCTATCCGCCGCATCTCCAAGTCCAAACCTTCTAGAACTTTCCCGTCTTCGTACGGCTCCGTCATGTTACACGCGTCAAGACTATCCCAAGTTCGGCCTTCGAAGTGAGAAGGCGAAAACGTCGTTAAGAGAACTTCACGGTGGGTCCCGGAAACGGCTTTCAACGTGGTTCTTATCGCTTTTCTAAACACATCGAAAAACCCTATCTCGGTACAGTTGCTTGCTTCGCAAGAATGACATCCGAGAACCGAACCGGACTCGTAGTAAACCGCTGGATGTAAAAACCAATGTCCCACGGAGATTATAACCGTATCGAACCGTTCTAAATCTTTGCCCCATCTCTCGTCAACACGGTCTACGTGCAATATGTTATGGTCTAGCTTTCCAGATTTCTCTAAACCGGCCACAAGAAACGGGGACCAGTAAACCGAGACCGTAACGTTGTGAGACTCAAAACGCCATCTTCTGAATCTATTTTCTTCGTATGAATAAACAAGATGAGGGCTAGAGACGGTGGAGAGGAGACATATAAGAGATTCAAGCTGGTTTCTAGCCATGGAGTCTCCGACAAAAGCTAGATGTTTGTCTCTCATAAGATCAAGAAACCGGTTAGCGTTGAATCTCGGTATATCGCATTGGTTCGGTTTCCATTTCCAATAAAGATAACCAGAATCTGGTCTTCCATGACGTAAGCAGTTCTGACCTTCTTTGATTGTTCCGCAGCTTGAGCCATTGTAGAGTGGACCCATCTCGTCTTTGATCCATTTCCCTTTCGTATAATCACATAAAGTTTCTTTTTCTGTAGATAGATACAAAATAACTAAAATATAATACACAATCATATTGAATAATTTGAATCTTACCTTGAGTTGAAGAAGAAGAGTAGTTAGTGATCAAGACGTGTGCCTTAGAGTCTTGGAGAGTGGTGTCATCAATGGTTGAGAACGGGTTATTAAAACATAGACGAAACATAGCAGCTGGTATGAATGCTAATACTATAAGAACAGAGATCTTCCTCTGAGTTAGACAAATCTGTTGCTCTTTGAATCCCATTTTAGGAATATAGATTTCTTTTTTTTTTTGTGTAGTCTTCTTGATTCTTGCTGCATTGATTATTGATATGGTGTTTTTATTCCAAGTACATGTCACGTCGTTTTTGGGTGGTCTGTTTTTATGTGGAAGAGACGAATGGTTCAATGGTTTTGGGACATGGGAAAAAATATTTTACTCAAAATCTTTATTATTAGTCTATCCATGTCAATGCTCTTGACGTGCTTCAATTATTTATTTTTATAAAAAACAATAAATGTTGTTCGTACAAGTGATAAATATTATTTTCTTTGCTTTTGCGTTGGAAAATTCTAAAATAACCGCATATAAATAATTCTGACTTGAGAGATTTTAGAATTGGGAGCCAATTACTAATTATTTTGGTCATCAAGTTGTTGTAGCATTACAATTTAGGAAATATTAGAGCATCCGCAACAAGGAATCCTTAGGAGAATCCTTAGGAAAAAAGAAAAAGGGGTATTTCAGATTATATAAGGATATTTCGGATTATTTCTTTAAAATAAAAAAATCTGACCAATCGTGGACCGACATGTGGGTAGTGGAGCCCATGAATAGTGTAAGGATTCATCCGAATCAATCCTTACATAAGGATTTTATTCTTAAAATCCTTAACTGTTCATGGGACCCATTGATTATAAAATTAATATTCCCTTAAGGATTTTCCCTAAAGACTCCTTGTTGCGGGTGGTCTTATAGAGGTTGACAAAAAAAGAAACATTATATTAATTAAGTTTAACGTATTGATATTTTTTTTTAAATAATGTTGTTAAGGAGATCTATTGCTATGTTTGCATTATCCTTTTTCTTTTTATTAGTTTGTAGTTTGTGGTGAAGTAGCAAAAGTTGTCTTCGATCAGTGAGCGGCCAGTCTCAAAATTTGCAAAATTCTGATGGCTTTTTACTATAAGTATGTTAATTGACGGAGGTAGGCCCTGGTGCAGTGCATCGTCGATGACATCCATTGTTCGTTGCACATGTCAGGGTATACTTGTCTGCGTCCACTGAAAGTGCTCTTTGTCAATAGTATAACGTGCAGCCATGTAATTTGATTATCTAAGCTACTTAATTATTAATCCTATAATAAGATGGTGACAACTGAAACTTAAGCATTGTAGTTCAAAGATTTCAAAATGTTAACAGTTTTTAAAAATGTCTCTAAGGTGTTTTATTGAATTTTAAGCGTTTTTCAAATTATTTAATCCTTTGGACGTTCCACAAATAATAACTGTATATATTTTAAGATAAAGTTATGAACCTGATTTGTAAACGTAGGCATTTGATAATAAATTAGTTTAAACAGATAATTATATTACTAGAGATCTTTTGTAGGGTTTCAATGATTTGGTGGCATTATCAAAGAGATGATTTTATCCACCAACATGTAATGACTTTTAACAATCTGATATATAAAATGCAAGAGATGTATGCAAAAAATTTATGGATCCAAAATAGTAATTTAGTTGCTTAAAATGTAAATCCGTAAGAAGAAGCCGTTGTGCTTAAATAAATTCAAATTGCTTCAAAGAAAATCTAGAGTTAAGTGTATAGAACCAACATTCAAGAATCAAGACTGACATTAATGATTTGAATATTAAAAAGTAACGACAGAAGATAATGGTGATGTAGTAGCTCACCAGCTTCCCATCTTCCCTCTTGACAAAATGACAAACTTTGTATATCGGAATGTTTAACTTGTCCATTAAGATGGCCTTAAGCCGAGTATTTATACAAATCACTCCATATCTCCTAAACCTAATACAATAATGTAAATATCTAGAATAGGAAATATGGAATATGGATATATCCGAATATATATGAAGATCATATCTCAATACCCCCCCTCAAGGTGGAACATGTAAGTTTCGAATGTCCAGCTTGTCTAAAAATATCTCGAACTCCTTTCTCCCCAAAGCTTTTGTAAGAATATCTGCAAGTTGATCTTTGGTTGAAACATAAGCTGGCTTGATCACTCCTTTAACAATTTCGTCTCTGATGAAATGACACTCAATCTCGATGTTCTTTGTGCGTTCATGAAATACCGGATTCGAACTAATATGGATAGCCGGCTGACTATCACAATAGAGAGTCATTGGTTCCTTGTGTTCAACTCCAATCTCCTTTAGTAACCCCTTCAGCCAGAGAAGCTCTTTGGTCGCAGCACCCATTGCGCGATATTCAGCCTCCGCTGAAGAACACGAGACTGTGTCCTGTTTCTTTGTCTTCCATGAAATCGGAGAATCACCAATTTGAACAATCCAACCCGTTAATGAGCGCCGACTGGTTTTGCAAGCTCCCCAATCTGAATCACACCAGCCAGTAATATGCATTGACGACTTTGCTCGCAAGATAACACCCTGACCCAGCGTCCCTTTCAAGTACCGAACCACTTTTAACGCTGCAAGCCAGTGTTCTTCTTTAGGTGTTTGCATGAATTGGGATAGTATGTGCACTGCATAGGTAAGATCAGGTCTTGTAGCGAGGAGATAAATGAGACGTCCCACAAGTCTGCGATAACGTTCTGGTTCCGAGATCACTGGTCCCTCAACACTGCCGAGTTGATGGTTCTGGTCCATAGGAGCTCCAGCAGGCTTACACCCGAGAAGACCCACCTCTGTAACTATATCAGTGGCATACTTCCGTTGGCAAAGATAAAAACCAGATGGTCCTCTCGCCACTTCAATTCCCAAAAAATATTTTAAGAGACCAAGATCCTTCATATGAAAGCACAGAGAAAGATAATCCTTAAGTAACTTGATGTCTTCTGGTGTGCTACCCGAGATAATCAAGTCGTCGACATAGGCCAAAACACGCAGTGAGATTCCGTTCTTTGAGTATACGAACAAGGTATAATCGGACTTGGTCTGGAGAAATCCATACTTAAGCAGAGCTTCCGTGAGTTTAGCAAACCAACAGCGGGGAGATTGTTTCAATCCATAAAGAGACTTGCGCAACCTACACACCCGAGTTTCCTTGGGATCAGAAAAACCCTGCGGTATCTTCATATAGACTTCTTCATGAAGATCACCATGGAGAAATGCGTTGTGTACATCCATCTGGTGCACCTCATGATTCATTTTAGCCGCATAATCAAGAAACACTCGGACAGTTGTCATCTTGGCAACCGGAGAAAATGTATCTGTGTAATCTACTCCATGTTTTTGACGATTGCCACAGACGACAAGTCTAGATTTATGACGTTCGATAGTCCCATCTGCTCTATATTTGATCGTATAGATCCATCGACTATCAAGTGCCTTTTTACCCTTTGGTAAATGTTCCAAATCCCATGTATGTTGGCGTTCCAAGGCGCCAATCTCAGTACCCATCGAGTCTCTCCAGACTTTGTCTCGCATTGCTTCTTTGAAACTACGAGGCATATCATGAGCCTCGATGGATGCTATAAAACAACGATGTTGTGGCGAAAAATTATCAGAAGATAAGAAAGCGGAAATTGGATAAATCGAACCTGATGATAGCTGTGGAGATGGGTCCTGACTTGAGAGAGAGAGAGAATTATCGAGAGCAACAGTATTGACCACATAGTCACGCAGTCGAGAAGATGGCACCTTTGTGCGATGACCACGTCCCAACTGTTCATGAACTCCTAACTCTGGTGCTTGCACGTCGTGAACTATCTCTGGTGGAAGTACTAGAGCATTTTCTTGAGTCTGAACCACTGGTGACGTATCTTCAACCGCTGCCTGAACTATGTTGTCACTTCCAGTATTCACTTCTGGATTCGTGTCGCCACTGTCAGAGTCCGTTTCATCAAACGACACTTCACCAAGTTCTGGAGGAGAAGGTGCAGGGGGTGTAACAGTCGAGACGGTCGCAAACGGGTATTGATCTTCACAAAACACCACGTCCCGTGAAGTAAAGATACTCTGTTTTTCCAGATCCAAAAGCAACCATCCCTTTTTCCCAGACGGATAACCGAGAAACGCACACCGGCGACTCCGAGCAGCAAACTTATCTCCGTGATGATTTATATTATGCGCATAAGCTAAGCACCCGAAGACTCGAAGATGCTTTAACGATGGCATACGACCATATAACTTTTCAAAAGGTGTTTTACCATCAAGTAACTGCGACGGAGTTCGATTCAGCAGATACACTGCGGTCTTCACACATTCACTCCAGTACTCGATAGGAAGATGAGCGTGAAAACGCAGTGCCCGGGCAATGTTCAGAATGTGCCGATGTTTCCGCTCGACTCTTCCATTTTGTTGTGGCGTGTATACGCATGATGTTTCGTGAGATATTCCATTCTCGTGTAGAAATCGTGAGAGACAAAGAAATTCGGTTCCATTGTCGCTGCGAATCTTCTTGACTTTCTTAGAAAATTGTGTATTCACCAAGGCCAAGAAATCTTTGATATGTCGTGATACAGATGTTTTATCTTGCAGCAGATACACCCACACTGCTCTGGAGTGATCATCAACAATAGTTAAGAAATAACGAGTTCCACATAAAGCTGTTGTACGATAAGGCCCCCATAAATCACAATGAATCAAATCAAAAATTCCATTAGAATAACTTGAGCTGTCTGGAAAACACTGACGAGTTTGTTTTGCTCTAAAGCAAACATCACAATTTTTAAATGAATCTGGAGTACAACTAACATCCGGAAGTAAGTTAACAATACGAGAAGATGGGTGGCCTAAACGGTGATGCCACAAAACAGAATCTTCGCCCACTCTAGTATGCAGCGTCGTGACTATCTCTGTAGCACACAGCCGGTACAGGCCCTCTCTCTCTCTCCTTTCACCCATCCCAATCAGCATCATCGTAGTGCGGTCCTGTAACAACAAAAGCTTATCAGTTATCTGTCCGACTAAGCCATTATCCGCGACTAATTGACCAAGAGAAATCAAATTCATATCAAATCCATCAACAAGATAGACATTATGAAGAGTCAGACGTGAAGTGAGACGAACAGTCCCCTGTTTTGAAGCAAGGACGTTCGGACCCGTGGGTAACTT